CACCCTGCTGCCACCTCTACCCAGAGATCAAGGAGGGTGGCTGCCACTGCAATTTTTGCGTTGGCCCTTTAAATGTCTCTTTGCATCCCCAGCCACCTGTCTCTGGCAGAGAGTGCCCCTAAGCTTTTCAGCGTTGCATTTTGTCTGTATTTTCCTGGTTTCAGCTGTTGTAGTTTAGGGGTCCCTGTTTATGATTCAGACCCCATTCTTCTCAGGGGAAGCTAACTGGCCGTTTCAATGTCCTTCTGGTGCTAGTGCCCGTGGGCACCCAGCCCACCCTCTCGAGCCTCCACCACACTTCTCACCTGTTGGGGTGTGTGAGAGTTGAATCCGTTGTCTGTCCGCGTCTCCTAGGCTTCTCTCCCACTATAGTTCCATTGTTTTCCAGGTGATTACTCCACTACTTAGTAGCAATTCCAGTTTGGTCTTGGGAGGAGGAGGTCAGCATGACTCCCATTCACTCCTCTGCTATCTTTTTTTACTACAAGATTTCTTTTGAGAAATCAGCTGATAGTCTTATGGGACAGTTTGTAGGTAACTGTCTCCTTTTCTCTTGCTGCTTTTAAGATTCCCTCCTTATATTTAGTCTTAGGTAATATAATTATGATATGCCTTAGTATGTGCTTACTTGGGTCCAACTTCTTTGGGACTCTCTGAGTTTCCTGGGCTTCCTGGAAGTATATTTCATTTTGCATAATGGGGACACTCCCCTTTATTTTTTTTTTTCAGATATGTTTTCATTTCTTGCTCTTCCTCTTCTTCTGGCACCCCTATGATTCGGATGTTGGATCATCTAAAATTGTCCTAGAGGTTCCTAAGCCTCTCCTCATTTTTTTAAATTCTTGTTTCTTCATTCTGTTTGGTTGAATGTTTATTTCTTCTTTCTGCTCCAAATTGTTGATTTGAGTCCCAATTTCCTTCCCTTCACTGCTGGTTCCCTGTGTAGTTTTCTTTATTTCACTCTGTATAGCCTTCACTTTTTCCTCTATTTTGTGACCATACTCAATCATTTCTGTGAGCATTCTGATTACCAGTGCTTTGAACTCTGCATCTGATAGGTCAGCTATCTCTTGGTCACTTAGTTCTTTTTCTGGAGTTTTGATCTGTTCTTTCATTTGGGCCATATTTCTTTGTCTTGGTGCAGCTGTTACATTGTAAAGGAGCCTTAGATATTCATGAGGACTGAGAAACTGATGTCTCTCTGTTGTGGCACTGTATGTGGGGGAGGGGGTCAGAAAGGGAACAATGCCACTTGCTTGGCTCTTGCACCATTTTCAGTCACTTCTCCCACTACTCACAAGCAAATTGGACCCTTCTGGCACCGATTCCTGGGTGGGTGGGTTTGTGTGTGTTCTAGAACCCTGTGGGTCTCTCAAACAAACACTCCTATGAGGCTGGGAGTTTCTTCAACCACAACAACCCCTGCAGATTTTTACTGCCAGGGATTTTGAGCCTTTCTTTTCCTGTGCTGGAACCGTGGGTTGCATGGTCTGTTTCACTCCCCTGTTGTTCCTCCTGGTTTATATGCATTCAAATGTGGGACTGCCAGCTGCCATCTAGCCCGCCCAGTCCTCCAGCCGCCATCTTGCTGCCCATCATCTCCATTTCTCCAGTTGCCTGTCTCTGCCCCTCCTACCTGTCTGGATGAATTTTTGTTCTTTATCTCCTTGGTTGTTGGACTTCCATACAGTTTAATTTTCTTGCAGTTCTGGGTTTTTTTTGTTTTTAAATTTGTTGTTGTCCTTCTTTTGGTTGTGCAAGGAGGCAAAGTGTATCTACCTATGTCTCCATCTTGGCCAGAAGTCTGTCAGAGTTTCTATTCTATAACATGTGTATACGCTCCCTTTGGCAGTCTGCTCCCCTCACATACCTGTTGAAGATGTTATGTCAGCAGTCAGGCTGTAGAGGCACAAACAGCATGCCTGGCAGCCTTGTGCCAGTGCTGAAGCCTGTGTGCCAGGGATGGTTGCCTCCAGGTCTGCAGCAGAGCGGAGAACCACACATCTGTGGACTACAAAAAGGGAGCTGCATGGTCCTGGTCTCAGCCTGGGATTCCCCATACAGAAAGATTTCGATACAGACCCTGTAACGGGTACTCATCTCCAGAGATTTCATCTCTGCTGTGGTCCCACTAAAGGGAAATCCATCCTTACAGCACAGTGAAAAGAAGGTTGAGAGACAGGGACCCCTGGGACTCCTATTCCTATTCCAACAGAGAAGGCAAGCATTATACTTTAGGCTTTGCCTCTGAGAAATATGACCAGAGGCCTCCACAGAAACTACATTTCACATATACTCCTGAACAAATAATCAGAATCCCCTTTATCATCAAAGGTATTAAATGTCACAACTTGTCAGGCCCAAGTCTAAGAGTTTCTTCTTATATGAAGAATAAAATTACTCTCTGAGAAAGAGGCTCTTAATGCTAGTCTCCAGAATTGTGGCTTTGGATTTTATTATAGCTATAATCTTTTAGAAAAAGAAGCTATGCACAATTTGCTCTGGAGACAGGGGCTTCATCCTGGGACTTGTGGAGCAGCCAAGAAAAGGGAAACCCTCTCTATCTGGCCTTATAAGCAACCTTTCTCTGTGCCTTCCCTGTTTATCCAGGGCTCACTTTCCCTAAGTACCCCACAGATACATTTGTATGATGTCTACTGTGTTGCCGCCTCCCTAGGCTGGGCAGGTCCACTTGAGACTCAGGTAGACAGAAAATTTGTGGAGCCATGGGGATGCTTAACATGCCTTTATTCTGGAGTCACACAGGCCACAAGCCTGTGTCTATGTCAGTGCCCCACTCCACTCTACTCCCTCACTCCCATACTCACTCCCCCAGTGAGAAGCCTCTTCCTTCTTAAGTACTAGAAGAAACAAAGTCTGCCTCAAGCCAAAAAAATGAGGTAACTAGCATGAGCTGTGCATGCAAGCCTACTCAAGGCTAAGGGGCCGTTTATTGCACCCATACTCAAGGCTATGAGAACACTGCTTTATCAGACTACCTCAGGGTTGTGATAATCTGCTCCCCCTAGTTACTCAAGCACCTGGGTGGGGAAGCCAGGCTACCTCCACTTACCCTACATTTATTTGCATCTCCTGGAACAGGTAACAACTGTTCTAGTGGAATCCAATGTAAAAAAATCAATCACACTCTAAAAGCTGGCAATCAAAGCTTTCTTGTCAACAGTGCCTTCCTGCTGGGGGTCAGTTAATGGCTTTCCTCAGTAGAATCAACCCTAGGGAGTTGAGAGTTACCTGCCCCCTTTATTTTACCATGTGGCAGGACTGGGATGAAGGAAGGAGGGTTGACATCCCATGTTCAGCTCATGGGAAAAGCCAGAACTGCCCACAGTTTGTGAGAGGTTGTTTCTCTTGGCTCCATCCTGACCTTCCCATTTATAGTGAAACTGCTTTTGTCAATGTGTACCACCTTAACTCAAGTTTTGTGTGCAGTGTACACAGAAGTGGGTGAGCTGGTTCTGCACACAAAGCATGTCTGTCCATAAGCCTTTCTCCAGGTCCCACCCTGTGTGCCAGTCCTCAGCATATACAGTAGTTATGACCTCTCCATGGGCCCAGGCACAGCCAGACCTCACTCCACCCACAGCTTCCCAGGCCTCTATCAAACCTGGGAAGTCTTGCTTTCCAGCTCATGCTTGTGCCTCCAAAGAAGGGGTTCTTTGGCATTCATTGGACAAACTTATATAAGACATGTTCAGGTAGATCCTCTGGTCCATTGATAGACATGGAGCTACTGCTCAGCTCAACCTAAGCAGTGTAGGACTTACCCATAACTCCTACCCCTAATCCATTATCCTCAAGACCCAGGACCACAAAGAAGCACTTAGCAGGGCCCCACCTCATCCTTTGGTGCTCTCATCCTTTCCTTGAAGGGCCTCTGGAGTGTCCATGCCAATAAGCACCTGACCTCTGGTGTACCACCTCCAGTAAGTCCACTGCTCTCCCCTGCATGATGTCAGTAAAGGGAAGGCAGGTGAAAAAGAAAAGGGTGTAATGGGACTCTTGTCACCAGTCAAACAGAACTGAATCAATACTGAAACCAGCAACAAGCAGATGATAGATCACTCCTGGGCTTGACCAAGGAATCTGTTTTTAAGCCAAGTCAAGACAAGACAAATTAGCTTTTCAAACAAAAGAGCTGCTAGAGTCAGCTTTTTGTAACCTTATTCCCAGAACCCTAGAAGCTGGAGAGGAAACCCCTGTGCTAATGGAAATTCAAAGAGCTATGAGTGCAGTGCCATGTTCCTCCTGGCCAACCCATGAAGCTGCCTATCTATCTGCTGGGCTGGGATGATGGTGTTGCTGAAACCTCATAGTTTAAAAAGCAAGTATAAATGTCTTTCATTGATTAATAAAAATGAACATATTGGTTATTTTTGAAAGAATACTCTTGCTAGAAAAAATATCTTAACCTGGGTTCCATGAAGGCATAATGAGGAGGGTGATTTGTAGTGAAAAAAGGCTGGGAAACTACACCTTTAGAAGCTTTCACATTGGACAAAGGAGGGCTTGAACACCCACCATGATAAACCATTTCGTCTAGCAGAACATCAATTTAGGCTGCTGTGAAACCAGAATATATTTCATATGAATGAACCTTTCACAAACAAAACACCCATTACTCCACTCTTAGTAAGTTAGATATCCCCACCCTGGGCACAGAGCTTTCCAGTGCTGAGTCAATGACACTGGCTGGGCTCAAGTACCTGCTTAAAGGCCAAGCTCTCCAACTTATCTGCTTTACCCTAGTGATTACCTTTTCGCATCGCTCAGCTTTTTTCATGAAGAGTGCCCACCTTCCCTCATTGGCCATGGGGAAATCCCATGATGACACTAAGGTGAGGTGACCTTAATCTCCCTGAGGTACCCTGACTACCCTGGGCCTGCTACCACAAAGTAAAGACCCCTCTGGAGGCATAAACTGAATGTCTTCTTGGGCTCTCCTCCTTAACAGCCTGGGTGTGCTGTGTGTGTGGACTTACCTCATGGGACAAATAGAAGGCTGCAATGCCCAAAGGCCAGAAGCAGCAAAGCATGGAGAAGACGCTGAGGCCCAGATGGTCCCGTGGGGGCATCATTAGAAAGTTGTCCTCACTGTCTGTATCACTGGAGTAGTTGCTCTGTAAAAGAGAACAGGTGGGGATGGAACAGAAGAAGATTAATAAAGGAACCACTATATGATGCCCTCAGAATATGGAGGTGAAACATGGCACAAGGAGAAGCCCCCAGGAAGGTTATTGTTGTTATTGTCTGCAAGTATTTCTCCTCAAAAGGAAACCCCTAAGAGCTGAGGGAACTCTTACCATGAACAGGAAGAGAAAAATCCTAGGTACAGGGATCTTGTGTAATTCCACAGAAGATAAAATCCTACAAAAGACAATTACTTTACAGATCTTTGAGTTGGAGGGCTGGACAGTGTGGGTAAAGGTCTACTCTGCAGAGGATAGAACTGGGTAATCTCAGAAGGCACACACTCTTGTGGATTCTGCTCTTTATTCTGAGACAGAGGGATTTTTTAAAAGCAGTTCTGATGATTACAACAATGACCAAACCACCCCACAGAGGGCACACCAGAGCTCTGGGATGCTAAAGTGCTGTCATGTCAATGTGCTTCCACCCCTACATGCCCAGGTACAGGATGCTTTTATTCTAGTTATCTCACTTGCTGGGCCCCCACTATAAATTTTCTCTCCTCATCAACATATGGAACACTCATGATGACTCATCCCAAACTATGGCCACTCTGTGTGCTTATTTTATACAGAGATAGAGTCACATTTACTCCAGCTTTGTCAGTGCATGAGGTTGTTAAACATGTTCCCTTCTGCTGCAAGCTGGAGACATTCAGGTCCACATTTCAGTGCACACTGGCCACTTCATCAGGTGGCTTCAGAGGCAGCACATTCAGGTGTGGTCACCTGAGATACCACACCAACACTCAGGTGAGTACCCTGAGTGAGCCTAACACCTGCATAGATGCCATTAACACTAGTACTACCCAGAAAGGCCCACTCATGCCTCCCGATATTCCTATGCAGACAGACATAGATGAAGCCCACAGGTGGTGACAATGTTCTTTTCTATTTTTGTTAATTAAAATGCACATAAAAAGCCAACCAGAGTCTCTAATCAGTGTACAGTGGTGGTGCTTCAGTGAAATGATAGAAAATTCCTGTTAGAACTCATTTTGTCTTGTTGACTTGGAGAAAACTGACAAATTCTGGTAGGCTCACTGAAAACACAAACAAGGACTTTCTATGGAGGTCTCCATGATGGAAATGGGTGACACACTGTCTACATAGAATCTGTCCACCCTAGACCTGCAGGTCAGAGGCTCTGCCAGTTCCTTCCTGCTGGCTAGGCCCTGTCTCTTCTCAGGTGAGTCACAACAACTGGCGAGTTTGAAATCACACAACATATCATTCATAGAGCTGTGTCTATGTAATATATATTCTTTTTACTCAATAGTATCACCTCCCATATGGTCTCCCCAACAATAGGGGAAGTGAAAATTACTGTCTTTATACCTGTCAGAGTAGGGAGCTAACAGCTTTCAAGGATGCATAATTCCTGGGTGAGATGAATAGGTGGACTGAGGGCTGTTTGGGTGATGCACATGATCCAGTCCCTGGGAAGTCCAACTCTTATTTGAATGTTGCCAGGGAGAGTCTGTGCAGTGTTGTGCAGTGTTGCCAGGGAGAGTCTGAATATCTTCATAGCTGTTCCTCTCCATAGGCAAATAACTGTGTCAACTCCATGGTCTCCAGAATATCACTCTGGAAACAAGCAACCTGAAATGACAGACATGTGTTGGAAGGGCTGAGCTGCACTTTGAGGGCCCTCTGCATAAGGTCCTAAGAAGGTCTGGGAAGGGAGGAAACTACAGTGACAATCCCAAGTTGGGCCATATCCAAAGAGCCCTCTGAGAGAGGTAGAGGATCAGAACTGAAAGGATAGCCACTTCTAGCCTTCAACTCAGATGCTTCTCATGGGTGTCCTCACAGCTGTACACCAACTCTGCTGATGGATATTTGCTTAGTTTTTTTTTGGGGGGGTGGTTTTAGTTCACAATGAGTTTGATATATCTGAGCTTGCTGGATTCTAATAACAACTCTGGAAATAGGTGTTGTTCCTATATTTATTGTTATTTCTATGTCACAAAGGACAAAACTGGGTTCTGAGAAATTGACATCTTGCCAAATCACAGAACCACCCACTCAGTGGCTGCTCTATCCAGAGCTCTCTACTATGCTGTCTGGACACCAAAACCATGGCCATGAATAAACTTCATTTTATCTAAGTTTATTCTTGTCCAAAGTTGAGGTGTCCCTTCTGCCTCAAGGATTCTTATGACTTTGCATCTTGACTAGTCTGTTTCATGGTGCCTACATGGAGTCCAGTGGTGATAGTGGTCAACTGAGAATTTTCTCAATCAAATAGTGAACTGCTGCCCCAAACCACATAGGCATGCTGGTAACATCAAGTTCCATCTTTGCAAATTGTTTAGAATTATACCACTATACCCATGAAGCAAAGAATTAGATTTTAGGGCACTCCCCCAAAATCTTCACAGATTTTTATTTAGAAGGATAAGGGAAACATACTATAAATTGCAACATTGTGGCTACATGGCAGCAAGATAATTACTCAGTTTTGATTAAAATAGATTTTGAAATAATCCAGACAAATTACAGGGTAGAAAAAACCCCCAGCTCTCTTCATGTTCTTTCTTTCATTAGTGGGTTATAAGTGGCCATGGGCATCATTCCATCAAAAATCAAGGGAAGGCAATGAGGCCACCTGCATGAGGCTACATTTGTACCAATAAACCAAGTAGAGAAAATATACAGAACCACCGACACAAAGAAATTCATCATGCACAGAAGCTGTTTCAAAAATTCTTCCTGATGGGGTGGGAAGCTATGCTCAGCTGTGTTACTTAGTCTCACTCAAGCCTTACTTGTCCTCCTATTGCCTCTCTCTGGGCCACATGCTGCCCTCTTATTCCTCCTGGACTTTGCTACTTGCTACCTCTGGAGAGCATCTGCAGTGTGGTTTGAGGGAGAGAGTAGAGGATTAGATAGCAGAATGTTACAACACTGGGATTCGAGCAGCCCAGAAACCAGAACTTCCTATGGGGGCTCAGCTTCTAAGAGCACAGTCTAAGAAACACATGGACAACCATATAAGGGTGTTTGTTCCAGATTCTCAGTGGTGTCCAAACTTTTGGCATCTCTGGGACACATTGGAAGAAGAAGAGTTGTTTTGGGCCACACATTAAATACATTGCAACACTTAATCTCAAAAAAAAACCTTATAATGTTTTAAGAAAATTTACAATTTTGTGTTGGGTCGCACTCATAGCCATCCTGGGCCATATGCGGCCTATGGGCCGTGGGTTGGACACCCCTGTTAGAGTATTCATGACAGCATTGTTTAAAAACAGTGAAATTACAAAAAAATTCTACATAGAATTCTATACAGTCATGAAAAGTATTGGCATGGTTGTTTATCGACTCCCCGGTAAAGACGTTTATAATAAATAAAGTGAAAAACCAGGGATGAAAGTGAATATATCATATTTCCTTCAGTATATCAGAGATTAGATATTTCTGAATGGTGGGCATGTTGTTGACTTTTTTCTTTCTGCATTTCTGGGTTTTAGTTTTTTCTACAATAAGCAAAATTTATATGGCAATAGAAATTATAAAGGTGCAGATGTGCTAATAAATGCAGGGGCTTCCACCTCCTTTTTGTCCTCAAAAAGAACTCTGTGGAATACAGCTTTCCTGAGACTCCTCATGGGGGAATAACATAACATGGGCCTGTTGCTCCATGAGCATCTGGCAGAGCAGGATTAGAAGGAACTTAACAGCACCCGAGGGAGTTCACTGAGACGTGGATCAGACATGACCAATTGTTCCATGGACCTGTCTTACTGAGGATTAAGATCAGAGGACTCAGAGCTACCCATGACATCCACATCTAACCTGACAAGTGCAGAAGCCACAGTCACAAAGAGCTATTTAAGCTTAAATTATCTAAATCGAATATGCCTAACGGTTCCTCAGCCACACTACCATATACCAGTGCTTAGTAGCTAGAAGTTGTTAGTGCCTATCACGCATGATAGCACAGATATAGAGTATTTATATCATCTCAAGAAGTTCTTTTAGACAGTACTGTCTTGTGTGGGCCAATCCTTCACTCTCTTCCACACATAGGGAGCTCTCTGCTGTTCCTCCAATATGCCCAGCATATGCTCCTGCGTCAGGGTCCTTGTACTTGCCGTTCTTCAGCCTTGAATTCTCTTCCCCCCACACACACATAACTAGCTTCCTCACCTCATTCAGAGCTTTGCTCAAATGCCACTTATCAGATCTTTCCAGGATAACCTGCTAGACTGTTACTGTTGTCTTCCACCACTATCCCCTTACCCGCTTGGTGCATATCCTTCGCTCCCCAGGTGTTACTGGCTTATTTACTATCTGACTCCCTTCCTCTAAGCACTAGGAAGGCAGCAACCTTTGCATGTTTTATTTACACCTATATTCTAAATGAATACAATAATGCCGGGGTAGCGCTGGCCAAATAGTTCAGTTGGTTTGTGTCATCCCGATATGCCAAGGTTCTGAGTTTGATCCTTAGCCACGGCATATACAACCAATGAATGCATAAATAAGTGGAACAACAAACTGATGTTTCTTTCTCTCATTCCCCCTTCCTCTCTCTCTAAAAATCAATAAATTAATAAGCCAGGCAATGAAAGCCAAATATCATATCACTTCACCTGTAAGTGGAACCTAATCAACAAAACAAACAGGTGAGCAAAATAGAACCAGAGACATGGAAATAAAGATCAAACTGACAGTAACCAGATGGGAGGTAGGAGGGGGATGGATAATGGGGGGAAGAAGAGGAACGGTCAAGTCAAGGAACATGTATAAAAGACCAAAGGACAAAGACAATGGGGTGGGGGGAGGATTGGATGTGGGATGTGGGGGGTGGGTAGGGCAGGGGAAAGTAATGGGAAAAAATGGGGACAACTGTAACTGAACAACAATAAAAAAATCAATAAATTAAAAAAAAAAGCCTGGCACACAGTAGGGACCTAAGGTCC